AGTTTTTCCAATATCAATAATTTTTCAAGCTGGGCCTTTTTTCTTCAAGCTAACCCAATTGGGCAAATAACCATTAGAAAAAAATTTAGCTCGAAAATAGAATCTGACCGGATTTAGACCCAAGATCTTTATCGTTCCATGCATAGACATTATCTCTAGCAAAGTGTTCAGAAGAAAATCAAGAAAGTGAACTTAAGTTCAATCAGCGCATAGTCCGATAATTGATAAAACTATAATTCAAAAAAAAAACGTTCTTCTTTGCCAAAAATATTCCATTGAAAAATGTATCTGATTTAAATAAGCACACAAAACAAAAATTTAAATCAATTTAGGAAGGACCCAACTCGTTACATACGGCGAAATATGTTGAACTTAAGTTCAATTAATTTAAGTTAAAAATATATGTTTGTCAGACAGTATAATTCTTCAGATCTTATGTGTTATGTATACCTTTTTCGATCTGTTTAGAGAATCATAGGAGAATTTAGTGTTTGTTTGGAACTAAAGATCCTCAAACATATTGGGGTGGAATTAATAATCCTCAAACATATTTTTAGAGAAACTTAATGATTTCTCAAACCTAAATCTAGACACGGAGGCACAGCGGAGCTTCGCATTACTTGCGATACAAATAAAACTTGCAGAACAAGATATTGAATGGAAAAAAAGAAGTCAATTTTTTGAACAATTTACAAATAAGTCGATAAAACTACATCTAAAAAAATTGGTCCCGGATGATGTTCATAAACAGCCATAACAAACATTGAGAAGCAATGGCCGAAGGGCAGCTACTGCGACAGAAAACTACATAAATCCAAAAAAACCAAAGATAGGCAAAATGCGATTCATTTTTGTAGAAAATACAAAATTTACTGGAACAAACTACAATGGGAACAATTATTGTTCCGACTTTCGATACGAAAGTAACGGAATATTTGTGCTCGGGGTGGGTTTTTTTTCTGCAGACAAATTTCGGCTTTTTAACAAGCCATCTTTGACGGAATTTTTTAATATCATTCAAAAGGTATTGTTATCCTGAGCTTAAATTTGAAAAGATATTTCACCTGTGATCATTTTTCGTAAAGTTATGAGGGTTTAAAGATTGCCATTTTGGCCATTTTGACCAATTTGGGACAATTAACGCGCGATATAATTCGCGCTATTAACGCGCAAGCGGAGATTTAATCCGTCTTATAAATCGTTCCAAATTGGTTGAACGAAGCTTATTTGCCATAATTGATTTGTTGCAAGGAACAAAATATATCCTTTTGTACTTTATATGGCGTGTGGGGGGATGACTTTCATAAAAAACTTCAAATTTTTGAAAAAAAATTCATTTTATTTTATTTCATTTCATTTTTTTATGCTATTACTGCTGATCCATAAACCTTAAAAACCAGTCGGAACATTCAGGGCTTCGCCCTGATACGAGCAGTCTTGTTTATATGAATCGTCAGTATAAATGAGGCGAAGTTGCAATTCTGATACACAAGTGTGAGTTCATGAAAAAAAAATCGAAGCTTTACACTGAAACAAATCTGCACTCGACAACACGCGCTAAAAACAGCGAAATGGAGCTATAATTTACAAAAAAAAAACAAGACTGCTCGTATCAGGGCAAAGCCCTGATTGTTCCGGCTGCCTTTTCAGGTTTATCGAGCAGTAGTAACATAAAAAAATTAAGTATTATAAAAAAAATTGAAATCCTTTTTTTCTAAAATTTGAAATTTTTTTTATGAAATCATCACCCCCACACGCCATATAAAGTTTAAAAGAATAGATTTTGCTCATTGTAACAAAACAATTATGGCAAATAAGTTTCTTTCAACCAATTTGGAACGATTTCAAAGACGGATTAAATCTCCGCTTACGCATTAATAGAGCGAAATATATCGCGCGTTAATTGTCCCAAATTGTCCGAATTGGCAATCTTTAAACCCTCATAACTTCACCAAAAATGATCACAGGTGAAATATCTTTTCAAATTTGAGCTCAGGACAACAATAACTTTTCAATGATATAATAAAATTCTGTCAAAAATGGCTAGTTAAAAAGTCGAAATTTGTCTGAAGAAAAAAATAACGCACCCCAAGCACAAATATTCCGTCACTTTCGTATCGAAAATCGGAACAATTGAAGACTAATAGAAACCAAACTTAAGCGTTCCGCTCCGGGAATCAATCCCGCAACCTGCCGAGAACAAGCATAAGATTCGACCAGCAGGCCAGACTTCTGACAACTAAAGCTCTAACGCAAGATTTTATAGTAAACATTAGGCTTTATTGAGGTGCTTTAATTGAACATTATAACTTCTGCGACTTCATAAAAACGCAAAACAATTTTGCACAAAAACTTTGCCAATGAAAGTGCAATTTTAATGGAGAAAATGAACTTTTATATAACACAAGCGCCAAACTCCGGTTGATCAGAAAACAAACAGCTTCAAAAATAAGTCAACCCATAGGCTTAAAAAAACTAGCACGTCTAACTTACACATACTCGCAACAGTAAAAGAAGGCTTCGATAAAAGACGACTATAGGCCCAATTGAAATACGCATAAATTCTATCTGCAGAACTGCCTCGCTTTGCACAAAATCCAGACATTTTTCAGATGACTACAATCAAATGGCTACACAATATATCAGTGCGGTACGTTTATGAGAGCGTTTTCTCAAATTAATCTTTAGTCAAGTTGCTGAATGCACTGGAATACTATGGGGTCTTCTCTGAAAGTTCCGCACCAGAAACTTCTCAAGAACAGGTCTGCAAGACGCTTCGCTTGAGTCTTCAACTAACGGTTAGGATTTGATACAAAACATTTCACACAGAAGCGACGCGGAACTTCGCAACACTTGAGATACGGCAAAACAGCAGACAAAAAATAAAACGATAGCCCTCAAGTCGAAAAAAAATTAAAAGTCGAAGAAATAAATTTCATAAACTTCATGTTCAATTTGACAAAAAAAACACTTCCCGCAACACAATCATAGGGGTGAACTAAGTATTCAGGTACAAAATGCGAGCGTCAACTAGGCCGGTAAAACTCTCGTTGAGCCGAAAACAAATTGCTGTCGGGAAAAACTTTGAGCTTTAACCTTTTGCAATATTGAAAATTTCATCCTTTGTGATTCCTGAGGGACGTAAAAAATATGTTTTCCATCAAACTACATAAAATTCTGTCACTAAGACAATAAAACAAAGCCAAAACCATTGATGCCAAATAACTCTTTCAATTAAACGAAACCGATAAAGAAAACATGCTAAGTCAGGGGTAGTAAATTTACATCACAGAGTAAATCATAACAATTGCAACTACAAGGAAACTTGCTTACAGCACAAGAAAATTATGTAACGTGGCAATCATTTTTTTTTCTAAATCAAGCTATCAAATGATTCAAGTGTTAACCTGAAAAAAACCTGTAATCCGATTTGATAAAGCTTGCTATTCGCAAGCATAAAAAGTGTTTGATTTTTCCAACAATTAAAGTTAAACGCTTCGATTGCCAGAAGTCTCCGGTAAAGCATTTAAATACTGAAATAAAATTTTCAATTTTGGTCGAAGAGCAAAAATGCATGGTTTTTATTGCACAAACTCTGCTGAAATATTCGTCGCATTTTTGCTAAGTAATGTTTTTTTTTATAAATTGTTAGAGCAAAAAGTGAAAATTTTCTTTCAACATTTTCTTTTTGACGTCAGCCACGATTGCGTAATAAATCGATTTTGAAAAGTTCAGTGGTCTGATTACGTCCAAAGGAGAAATTAATTTGTTGAGACCTTCATAATTTATTCCATGATGGTTCCAGTCTATCTATATATTAATGAAATGACATGTTTTTCGTAGTCATATGATGCAATGATTAAGAAAAACCACCGAGCACAACATAAAAGAAGGCTTAAGAGCTATTCAGAGCAACCATCGAATATTCTAAGGTCTGGAATATTCTTAAATTTTTTTTTTGACAAAAGTCAGAAACTCGTTTCAATTGCTAGGCTAGAAAATACCTGCCCACCTATTGTCCAAGATTTTGCAGTTAAGGATTGATTTCAGATTGAAACGAATCAAACTGCAACCACTATGCTCAGAAAACCTAACTTTTAGCAAACCGATTTGCGGTCTATGAAATAACTTGAAATAATTTGAAGTTTCAGAGCTCGAATAGCTTGCTTAGAACAACTTCAACTTTTAGCGAATGGAATCAGTCTATAAACTAACTTGAAAACTTTTCGCAAACCAATTCAATCTAGGAAATAAATTGAAATGTTTCAAAAGTTCATTGCTTGAATAGCTTGCTTGAATAAACTATTTTGCAAACTGATTTGCTCTATGATACTACTAGAAATTTTTCGAACTTCCTTTGCTTGAATAGCTTGCATAAGAAAATTATAACTTTTCGCGAAACGAATCGGTCTAAGATACTCCTTGGATTATTTCGAAGTTCCTCGCTCACTTAGCTCGCTTGGAAAAATTAACTTTTTGCACAACATTTCAGTCTAAGAGAAAACTTGAAATATTTGAAACTTTCATAGCTTGAATAGCTTGCTTGGAAAAAACCTCTCGCAAACCGATTTGCGGTCTATGAAATAACTTGAATTATTTCAAACTTTCATAGCTTGCTTGGAAAAAACCTCTCGCAAACCGATTTGCGGTCTATGAAACAACTTGAATTATTTCAAACTTTCATAGCTTGAAGACCTAGCTCAGTAAAAATTTAACTTTTCGCACGCTTTTTCGCTCTATGAAACATTTTGAAATATTTCAGAGTTTCATTGCTTGAATAGTATGCATAGGAAAACTAACTTTTTGCAAATTGATTTGTACTATGATGGTTTTTTGTCGTCTGTTTCTGAACCGGGTTTTTTCTCCTTCGCTCGTTTAAACGCAATTAGATGACGCAATAAAAGCAATTCGATAAAAAAAAATGAGAAAAACTGATTTATAGAAGTCAATTAGACTTCAACATCTTTTTATATGATAGAAGCCATTGAAATGGTACTAACGACTTTGGCAAGTTGCAGCAATCCACCCCAGAATCCACCGCCACCTGATGTTGACGCCACTTTGAAGACTGTACTAATTCCAAGGTGAAAGTTGATAATCGCCAAAAAAGCCTCCCAAAATCAAAAGGTGTCCCCCGCAACACAAAAGCCCAGTCGAAATCAGCGGGCAGGTCAATAATTTGCAGCCGTTATTGTTTTTTGCTTCTTCTATAGCGATGTAATATGGTCTGCTATAATCATTAATACAGTAAGAAAGCAGCGAGCTTCTAGGAAGAAAATGAATTGGTAGACCGAAGTCCACAGGAAACGTAAAGTATGCTGATGGAAATGATTTGTTATTTCAACTTCTATATACAGGAAAAATCTTATTAATTTGAGCAACACTTGCGCCGCAAATGTTTGATTAAAGCTGTTTTCATCTTGCGCTGAACTTAGCAAACAATGGTTCAAGAAAGTAAGGAAATGAGCTGGATCGAATGACAAGTAGAAAATGGTCTGCGGTAATTTTTTTTCAATAAATCGATCTCGCTATTTCACAAATTTCGGTAGCCAAAATAGCATATCTAATCTACTTAATAGCAATGATTAAGACGCTTACCTTCGTAGAGAATGAACGGCTTACTGTTTGTTCACGTTGCTTCTTGGGTTATTAAGATGGAATTTTTAATTTGCAAAGAAAATTTTATGTCTGAATTGACTGTTAATCTAGAACTGAATAATGCTGTTGGGTTGTACGCTATCAACTAGTCTGCAGCAATTGAAGATGCTGATATTTTTTCATCGTCAACTGTACGACATAAATTAAATCTCAGATATTTAAGAGTTGATTAAGATGTTTGCAGCAGTTACCATTCAGATTTATTCGATTCGCTACGGCGGTTGATTAAATTTGTTTTTTCAGGACACTTTTCTCCGCAAATGAGAGGCGCCCATTCAACGGTTAAAACTGCATTTTTCGCTGCAGCGGCTAAGGGTATAGGACAAAAGTGGAATAATTTCGCCCCATAAAGAGAGAAAGCAGAAACGTGTGTGTAGTTAATGCATTTGAAATCATTTCCTGGTTAGCGTTTATGTTTTCTAATTCACCATCAAAAAGGGTTAGGGGGGCCTTATAAATCCGAACGGCATCTGATAGTGATGCAAATAAGCTCTAACTAACTTCACTACAACGCCACCGGTCAGGCAAGAACACCCCCGAAATGCATCACTTTATTCATCGCTAATAAATCAAATCTATTCAACTCTGAAGCGCTTCAATGAGTTCAATCTAGCCGAGTTAATGAGTCCCCGGTAACACTTATTCGCCATTCATTAACAAAAGCCCCCCCCCACCTCACACGCAAACAATAATAGCCCTTCATCGATCGCGCTGTGAAACTGTCGTAAATTCTGGAACTTCCATTATTTTTCACGGAAAAATCAATTGAAGAATAATAAAAATTCAAATAGGAGCTATATTTAAGTGTTCAATAAAATACAGTTTACATAATAGGGTTTCAGAGTACATTTACAGATTTACAAATTTACACGTCACCTACTAGTATTTTCATTCTATGTCTATATAATTAATAATATAAATCACCTCATCTATACGTCAAAACTTCAGGTCAATTAAATATAAATCCGTTGAAATTTACAATTTCCGGCTCCAAGACGGAACAACCTTGATCAATAGTGAGCCCTACAGCTAATCTATGGAAGTACAAAAGATACGCAATAACAGTAGCAGAAGTAGTAGGATTATAGTTCGGTCTATTTTTTAGTTTACAATCTAAAAGAATGCGAGAATTAGAATAAGGTAATGGAGCAAGGGAGAACTGAGTAATTGGTTGGTACAATTTTTTATCCTACGAAACTGAAGGTCTTCCCTGGGGAAGGTGCATTATGTCCTTATCAAATATTCCACAAATTACTCGGTCTTATTCAAATTGGATTAAATAAATTATCAGATAAAAATCTTTTGTTCCTTTGTTTTAATTGCTTTTCATCTTTCCGCCACTGGCGCCCTCAGGCTGACGACCTTTGTCCCAAATATGTTCAAACACTGCTCACTACTTGTTTATCATGCTCTGTGAACTTTGATCCCGCAACAAAATGTTCACTCGTTGGTGTGCTTTCAATCCCTGCAGTAGCATTGGTCCCACCTGGATTCAATCCTCCAACGCCTGCTGAATCAGGCTGCCCGTCGGGTTTCCGTTCTACCCTGCGTCTGACAGGGACAGCTTGAAACATCTTCTGTATTTTCTAAAAATAAAAAAAAACACCATCAACATTGTTCACAGAGGCGAAGCTGAGCTTCACACCACTTGCGATACAAAACAAGAAAAAAATTCAAAAAAAAATCGAAAAAGTGAAAAAAATAGATCTATCAAAAAAATAAGGCTACTTATGAAACAAAAACATGTGAAGACAATAGAATGTGAAATAAACATCGTAGATAGTGTGCCCTGTCAGAAACCCTTCAACCCGAAAAAAAATCAACAAGACATGACTTATGAAAAGTTAATCAGTCCACCTCGCTAAATGCATCACTTTATTCATAGCAAATAAATCATATCTATTCAGCTCTGAAGCGCTTCAATGAGTTCAATCTAGCCGAGTTAATGCAAGGGTGAAAAGGATTATCACGCGCGTGAATCTGATTTTGAACGTTTCTAACACAGGCGAAGTAGAGCTTTTCATCAATTTCGACACAGAGTCGCTCTATAAAGCTCAAAAAAATAGAAAAAAGCCTCGAATTAGTAAAACTGACATACCTCTCAGGTTCGAACCTGCAACCTGGAGATTAAGAGGCCCACACACTAACCACTCAGCCACGGAAGCTTAATAGATGCCAAACACCAGCAACAAATAAAGGAGAGAAAGATACTATGCAATTTCCAATGCTTCAGTGAAATTTCCAAATAAGCGAACACCTTTAACTAAGAGTTAGGTTAGAAAAAAGGCGGTTCGTAATAATAAACTAAGCTGATCTCAAGTGTAATAAAACGCAACTCTAACACTGCAAGCTACAGAATAAAAAATGACACGAGAGTTTTTAAGACAAACTTTTTTATGGTAAAATGAAAATTATCAATTCCAGAAAAACAGTCGGGAAACGCAACCGCCATCAAATGAGCGTTGATTAATAACCGAGCAGCCACTAAGCCGACAATTCGTGGATAGATGTCCATTGATCCGGAAACAAAAAAAACTAGCCAACTGACAGTTGGACAAGAGCGATGAACGCAAGAATGCACAAATGAACGCAAGGCTTTTTTTGATAAAAACAATTAATCGCTGCAAAATTTGATGATTAAATTTCAAGTTCGAAATTAGAAGTAATAACGTTTTTCGCGACTTTCACACTTTCGCTGTTCGGGAGTGGTCTTTTAAAAAAGGAAATGAAGTAAACAAAATTAAATCAAAAGTCAAACCGCAAAAAATCGAATTTGCTCGTAAAATTTTTTTAAAACTTCAGGAAAATAAAACACTGACCTATAAAATTACCATGACCTATATAAGAGCACTTACTACGTTCATTACTCTTATAAAACGCCACAAGATATTGTTGTAAAATGTTGAGCGAATAAGTTTTAGATTTTTCAAAATTTTGACACCACAACATACTTGAATTATCTTAAAATAATAGTAATAAAGTGCTGTCTTACGAACAGCACAAAATTAACTGACTAAACCGACAAAACATCGCCGAAACTATTTAGGCCGAATACAGATTTTAAGCGAAAAAATCTCAGGGATAGAAAAATTACAGATTAAAGGATTAAATCAACGCACTTGCAATCAAAATGCAAATTTCTTACACCGCAAGGAGCATCGACATCCGCGATGTGCCAACTAAGCTGAAAAACATAAGCAGACAAAAGAAAGTCTGACAATTAAATTTTTCACAGAAAAAAAAGCATTCTCATGCATGCTGGAAAAAAATTCCGACGTGACTCAAACCCAAGACCTAAGGGTGCAAAGTTATCTGCGTTACCTCTTGATCAAGAGGGAAGGACCCTGGAAGTTTTTAAGTTGCAAGAATAAACAAGCTCAACTTCTTACGGAGAAAAAATGACCTCGAAATTTTGTCGACTTAATTCCCATTCAAGTAATTATTATCTCCAGCTGTCACAAAATTCGAAAACACCAAAAACAATTGAGGAGCTAAAACTTAAATGGCGTGAATGAGTTACCTGTGAGATGGTGGGTGCAGGTGTGGTGAAGAAACAGAATATCATGTATCCAGGTATCCAGATAAGCGAAGAGAAGAAGATGCAGTATGCAACGATGTCCGACCACCAGGGGTACACCTCCATGCTGTCCGGCTGTTGGGAGAGGAAACTCAAGTCTCGGATGGAGAAACACGTTATTATCTGAACAAAGCCCAACCATTAGCTATATCATATACAAAACTGCAACAAAAACTGAACTTGTAAGGTTAACGTTAATTTCAATTTTCGCTCTCGAACTTGTTTATTGATTAAGTTGGTCAGCACAACAACTGCAGTTTAAAAGATCGTCCAAACAGACAAAGTAATACTAATAATAATAATACACGGAGGAGAAGCTGCGCTCCGCAAACACCAGCGACCTAGTTTTTAGATGAAGACTTCCGCACCAACATTTTTAGATTAAGCCCTTAATATCAAATTTAGCAAGCAGTTTTCGAGAAACGTAACAAAATTTCTACAAAAAGGAACAAAAATTTGCATAGGAATTTTTCCAAAGTCCACATCAGCTTTTCTACAGAAAAACAGGGTAAAACAGACTACGCGGGGAAAATCTAAGCACCATGTTCGTCATGAAAATCAACCTCAGAATCAGCAGGCTAGTTTGTGAACGGCCAAAATTACCAACAATTGGACACTTTCTAAGGCCATATTTCTTTCAAAACGCAAGGCGTAGTCACATGCAGTGTTAAAGATTCGCATAACATATTTTTTTTCGGTTAAACCCTTAATCTCCGATTTGTCAGTGCAGTTTTCGAGAGGTCATAATTTTTCTACCAAAATTTAAGGAATAGTCGCTTGTGCAAGCGAAAACCCTATACTTGGTTCTTTTGATTGTGACCTTCCTCTCAGATTGGTGCATTTAATCTTTGAGAAAATGAAAAGTTTCAAAACAAATAGGCCAAAAATTGCTCTAATGAAACTTTCAGAGGCCGTAGAACGTGCGGTAAAATGAAAAGATACTAGCGAAATATGCACGAACTTAAAAGAGAAGCCGTTTTCTCCATTGGTACCATTTTTGAAACGTTTTAAGTATTTTTAGGAAAAAAATCAAACTTCTGCGAAGAGTGCGAAGCAATTTCGAAAGCGTCGCAAAAAAAAAACAGCAAATCCCATATATTTTCAGGAACACATGTTTTTTTTTCAAACAAGAGCTAGCACTAGCCAAAAAAAGCAGCAACATATACCATTAAATTGTTTATGCTTAAATAAACTTAATTATGATTAAATTGAAAATACCAAAAGTGCCACCCAATGAGTACTTAGTTTGCCACCGAACGACTTAGTTTAGGAAAAAAAATTCGTAATAATACACTACGCTTCGCTTTTGTAAATAAAAACAAACGTGGTTTCAGCGAATCGCAGAGGAACTATCAGCAGGCTTAAAGACCCGTCTAAAGATGTCCAATTGTTTTAACTCTCCACATTCCACACTGATTTTTATGACCGAAGTTTTTTTTGCGCTTAGAACCACTTTGGCCGTTTTATGCAACTAGAACTTTCACGTGGTAACACTATTGCAGCCTGAATCCTGAATCGGTCAGGCTGTGGTAGACCTGAAGCTGGTGGTAAGTGAGAGCTCACACACTATCAATGTTAGGTCAGGAGATCGAATACACGATCTGACGCTCTTAAAAAGAACGCATTACTATTATGCTAAGTATTGCTAAGAAAACTATTTGTTCACATTCAATGCTATTGACTCGAGTCACCTATTTAGCTTATGATGAAGAAGATACTCACGACTAGAAAAGCTGGTCCCAAGAATGCCCAACACAATACCCAGTAATGGCCAGGAGTCATCCCAATCATCTCTGTGATATCATCTCGCAGACGTTTGAATCCTACATCAGAACACAAAATATTTTGAATTACAAATTTGAGAGAGTTTCTAATCATTCGTTATCTTCGAGTATGAAGTAGAAAAATCAAAGGGCAACAAAAGTAGCCAAGACTCAGCTCTAACCGTAGCAATAGCAAACAGTCAATGTTTCCAATAGTACGACAATAATCATCGGGTTGGCAGTCCCATATTCCGCATAGATGCGCTCCATGAACATTCCTCCCTAAATAAACACTTTTTAAGAATACGATTATCTTTACTATGTATTTTTTGTTAATTGTAATACACACACATTTCAGATACCATTATCTCAGCTACTTGTACATTGGAAAATGTGCAAACTTTTAGAGCAAACAAAGAGATTAAATAAATACTTTAGTTTCTTTAGGACTCACTGTAGAATTAAACTAGTTTCGCTAGTTTATACATAAGCGATGTCGTTTTTGTCGCAGCCCTGTTCATTCATGCGGACTGAACTTACTCTGGTGGTGGTTGGGAGTGCCCCGAAGAAGCAGCAGGTGATGAGGACTAGAACAAAACACTCCCTGTGCTTGCCTAGCACGTTGGGGAACTGGTCACTCAGTGCAGTGATGATCGACTCCAGACCACCAAACTAAACAGCCAAAATACTGTCACATTTCCGCCAGGGCAGCCTGTGATTCTGGACATCGAGATTTGATTTTTAACATAGATAAATGTTGTAACCATTTGTTTAACTTTTCTTCTACAATTTTCGCACATCATGACAAACTTGATATATATTTTTCACACTTCTCCAGGAATGTTTACGTTAAACACAAGTTTTATGCATGATGAAAACAAAAGTGATCACTTACAAGATGGAAACGAAAGTATAAATCTCTCAGGCTACAAACTGAGGTTGGCTGTTCATTCGTCGAGTTAACTACTAACTGTGCTGTCGAGGCCGAGTGTGATCAGCATGAAGAAGAACACAAGTGCCCACAGGGTGGACCAGGGCATATTAGCTATTGCCTCCGGGTACACTTCGAACACCAAACCAGAGCCTGAAAAGAAAAACATAGCCAACAGACACTTTGAAAAGAGTCATGAACGCAAGAGAAAAAAATGCTGACTTGTTTTTTGAAAAAATATCAAATTTCAAAGAAACAAATATATTGCCTTAAAGCTCTTTCATTTTCTCGGGCAATTGGTAGATATGATTGCTACTTTTTGATACAATTAACCCAATATGAGAAAACCTGATCAGTAAGTATAACTTTAACTTCGCTGAAAAATCTGAAAATTAAATTTGAAATTAGAAGTCGATCACATTTTTTGTGCCCTTTACACTTTCGCTGTTCCATGATGGAGTTCACCTTCCTTTTAACAAAGGAAATGAACTGAACTTAAAAAGCAATCAAAAACTAAACCGCAAAAATTAAAATCAAAGACTTTTTCCTGAAAAAAAAAAACAAAAAAAGCACAAAGACCTATTATATAAGAGTATTCACAACATTCATGACTCTTACACAATATGCGAAACGAACGCCCGTGAAAAACATTGCAATTTCATGTTTCAACGGTTGTTATCGGTTCTTGGCGACTCTTGTTCTGATCACACACCTCATACATCACTGAGAAACTATCTATTGTTCTCAGAATGTTAGCTGTTTTTCCAAAACTGCAAAAATCATTCAGATGCAACAGACCTTCTTTGGCCACATTTTCTATGTTCTTTCCCTGCTTGACTGCCAGATATCCGAGAACGGAGAAAATGACGAATCCAGCCAAAAAACTGGTGAGGCAGTTGATAACTGAAGTCACAATGGCGTCTCGGTAGCAGTTGTTGTGGAAGGGGTTGTAACTGGCTAGAGCCAGGAGGACGCCAAAACCGGGTCCCAAGGAAAAAAAGATTTGCTGTGCCGCCTCTTTCCACACCTATTGACGACACAAATTACTTTTTAATGAAAATACCGTTTAGAATATCTAGAAGGCATTTTCAACTAATTTTATATATTTCATGTGCAATATTTACCGTAATTTCTAGAATTTTCTCGGGCACTGGAGTTAAGTAGTACTTGACTCCCATCATTGCACCAGGTAGCGTCAGACCTCGAATTAGCAGACAAAACAGAATGATATAAGGCGCAGTTGCCGTAATCCAAACAACCTTAAACAGTTGCACTGACCTATTAAGAAAGGCATTAAAGTACACTGTGCGACATTGAAAACGCATCATCAAAAACTTTCTAAATACAATTTTAACAAAAAAAATTGTTGAAGAAACTGGATTTTAATAAGCTAACGCCTTTGAAGAAAATTTGACAGAGGCGAAGCTGAGCTTTGCACCACTTGCGATACATAAAGCCATCAAATCGTGAAAAAATTGAAAAAACGCTAAAAAAAACAACCCAAATTTTTATGTATTTGTCTGAAAAGGAAACTCATTTTGATGAAGACCTGTGGTGGAATAAAACATCGAGCATTGAACTAGCATAAAAAGTTACCGAGCGGTAACTACGTTGAAAAGACGGGGATAAATCGATTAGCAGATTAGCACGCAAAAACTCTCAGACATCACAAGGAATCAGACGAAAAGTTGCTCTGAACTAAGTCCAAACAAACTAAAACAAATATCCAAAAAAAGGCTGGCGAAAAAACAGTTGTCCATTTCAATTTTTTCGCTATCAGCAAGTTTTGTTAGGAATAAAAACGGAACACCTAAATCAGAATAGCCTGCCTAAACTTGAACAGCAAATGAGAAAAAACACACTATATAGAAAGAGGAAAAAAACATAACGTGTACTAGAAATAAAAAGCGCAAAAAAGCAAATTTGTTATTTTAAATAAAAAAAATATATAAATTATGAACAAAAAATGAATTAAAAACTTACAGGTAGTTTGTGATTTGATAGCACTTAAGGCCTCGTAAAACCGGGTTTCCTACAAAAAGAATTATTCGATCTGCAAAAAAACAGAGGCTAGAAAGCATTAGAAGTAAAATAAAAATCAAGGGACTAAAAAATTGATTGAAAATTACACCAAGAAAACTGCGAATAAAGTCATGACTTTAATTACCTTTGCCAAAAAGAATACGATAAGAACATCAGGCCGATCAAAAAGTATCGAGGACAAAATCCGAAAAAAAATTATTGAAAAGAGAAAAAACTAGACAAAATATTCGAAAACTGTTTCATAATTTTTTCTAACGTTTTCCGAAGAAGGTCGGAGAAGTGATTTCAATTTGCCAAACATACCTTATCGAAGTTAAAATGAATTGAAGAAACGACTGGAAACAAATTTGAAAAAACAATAGGCAAATAAGCCGACAGAATGAAAGCCGACACTTAATAAGCTTAAAAAACAGCCGATATATTTTCAGTAAAAAATATCACAAAACATTTGCAGCTACCCGCTACAATGCAATGTACAGGCAAAACAAGCACGCTGCATAAACTACATATTTGTAAATTTAACATTTCAAACTGTGTAAATAATTACTATTCTGTGAACAAAGTTATTTAAGGGGAAAAGTCTAGTACCCGGTTGCAATACTTTTGCTTATCGCAATGGTAATCACATTTCGCAGGCTTATCTTGCATGATTGTGATTTTGCTAGAATGCTTGAAAACTCAGTTTTGATGCAGAAAAAGAAGTTATTGGCTTAACTTTCAGTTTATTGACCATAAAAAATTTATTGGTCATATAAAGACGAGTTTTTTTCCAGAAGTGTGACTGAAACAAGGCACTAAAGCTATTTCTTTCAGATGATAGAGGTAAAACCAGCAATTTTTTACCTTAACTTCGCTCAAAAACTTTCTTTAAAGAATCATTTTCTAGGCGAGTCGTCGAACACTTGCTATTTGTCTGAAGAAGCATATGGCTTTTGAAAACTCTCAAAAATAATAGGTTTTGTGACTCATTGAAATTTCGCTGTTGCGTTTTTGATGCCGTCCAGCATAAAACGCCCGAGCCGAAAATTAGAGGCCAAAAATATACGTTTTTCACAAAAAAAACGGTCACTGTGCAAGCAAAAGAGAATCTTTCGACAACAGTTAACATTACAAACTAAACAAATAGCGAACAGACAGTTGGAAACCTGTCAATAAACTCGAACCACAAAAAAAATGATTTTTTTTTCTAATTATTCATTTTTCAACTTAGGTTTCACTTGTTTGTTTAACTAATCCAATAAGAAAAAACTGGATTGCTAGGCAAAATTCTTTTTCAGTCTGAAAACTAAAAAAAAAATCCAGATGGAACTAATCTCGTTCGGCGCTAAACTTTTATTCCTGAGCGCTGCTTTTCTTTCATTCAGATAATAAACAAAGAAATTTTTATTCGGTTCGAAAAAACCTGCAAGAAAATACTTTAAAAATTGACACAAAACCGAAGCGATACTAAACTGAATACACATGATTACCAGCAAATAAACAGACAAATCAAAAATTGAAAAAAAAACTTTGAAAAAATCGTTTTTTTTTGTTACGTTATAAAAATTGCAAAAAAGACTCTCCGGAACAAAATTACCTACACAAAAAGAAAACTTACAGAGAGCTTTTAAAACTTTACAAAAAAAAGTAACCGAACTTTTCTTCGGGGCCTATGCTGACTAAAATTAGCAGACACGAAAGCCTAAAATACTCGCAATTTTTCAGTTTCCACAAAAAAGCAGATCCCGACTGAAATCGAATTCTGGGGTTTGTCGTCTCAAACATGCGTGTTACCACTGCACCAAATGCGCAGAGCACTCCTTGAATTTTTAAGTAAAACAACTTTAAATCTGTAAACAAAAACAGCAAAACAAACCAAAAAATAGCAAATGAGACTGAAGGTTATATATTAGCACAAGTGGCAGGTATGAATTTACATTCAGCAATACATAGAAATTAGAAATTAAATTGGCATTCTAACAAAACAACCACGTCTGAAAAACTACAATTCTAGCCAACAGCGGTTGAAAAAGTGCCAATGAACTCAGGGAAACAAAAATTAAATAGACTACGAAATTCAAATAAAAAATTATGGACTTTAAGTTCTTTGAATTTCAAGAATCATTTATGATTCATATTTGTCGATAATGACCCGAATGAAGAAAACTGGATCAATGTGTCAAATTTTCATTTCTTTGACAATTTTGAAAATTAAAATCCATTCTCAAAGCAAAAAATCGTTCACGATTTACGCGCCATTTTTCTGTTCAGTCACTACACGCTCATTCATTTTTTTTTCAAGAAACTCGACAATCTATATATCAGAAAAGGGTCGTTTCTTCTAAATTCCAATTAAGTAACAGGGCTTCTTCTTTTAATCTCATAAGGGAAACCCAAGTCATTTTAGCTAGTTTAAATCGACGCAAAAGCAGAAGAAATTATAGCTTTGTCCAGCTTCCGAATTTAAAGTTTTATATTTTCACTTCGCATTTTTTCATGATATAATTAGTCGACCAACAAATTGTTAGGCGTTCAAAACCTATAGCCGTTCAAAATATTCAAAACTGTCCACTACCTTTCCTGATCCTTTGATTCCCTTCCACAGAGAGAAATAAACAACGATGAACACGAACATCAGACATACTGAAAGTTCCCATTTCAGACCTCCCATGTCATGGAGACCCGCTGCTTTATAGTTCTCCAGTACATACCTCCTAAAACAAATATGTATGAGCATAAGGATTCCACTGTTTACTATTTTGAGATTGAAGAAGTTTTTGGGTGCGAGGGAGAATTGGTTTTGAACCAAAACTCAGAACCTTCTATCAAGAACAAATTCAATCGACGTACGTGTAGTATTGACTGGCTGGCGTTTCTGTAAAGGTCTGATTTGCTTTTGCAGTTTGTCCAATAGCTAGACAGTTTTCATCGTTCCATGGATTTCCACATGAGACCCAGGGTAAAGTAAGGGTGAATGATGAATACAGATAATAAAAGGCTGTTGCAATAACAGTATTGTAGAAAAAGCTCATGTACATATTTATAAAAATAATCGCGAAGCCCAGTCCTGAACAAACAAAACAGCATTCAAAAAAATTCAAACTATTATCATGTATACTAGGTGACATTGAAAAAGCAACAGCAAAATTTCGATGATGCAAAAAAACTCTAAGTTGAAATTTTCAAGCAAACATGCTTTTTCTGATAGCAAATTTTTTTAAAATGGGCTTAAAAAAGAAAAAATATTACCTTTGTTTTATCTGATTCATTTCATGGAACTAAATTAGGTACCTTAACTAATTAAGGTACCTTAACTAAAATCCTCGCCATTTTAAGGTCAATAAAGTAAAAAAAACTGAAGGATAAGCAATCAACGTACCTTTTTCCTTCGGATCAAAAATGGGTTTTCCTGGTAAATTTAAGGCGTAACTTTTTTCAAGCCTACAAGGAAATTACAATATAGAACAGATTAAAATGAAACTTAGCGGCTGAAATGTGAAAAAGAATTAGCAAAAAACTTGAAGATACGTTTTCAATGTCGCCCAGTATATATTTCTAAACTTAAATTTTTACCTTTCATGGCTGGGCATAGTTTGTTCCATAGGGTGATGCATCCTGTCCGATAATACTGACCGAGGGCCAGCTCCATAAAAAATAAAGGCAGTCCTCCAAATAGGAAGCATATTGAGTAAGGTAAAAGAAAAGCACCTGAAAAACAAACGTTAAATCAAAGGATTCTATGATCTAAACAACAGATCAGATTCATTTTGTTTCTACACTTTTTTTATCATCTCCTTTCTATCATTAACACTTCCATCTCTAGAAAATTCCAAGGATTTAGACTGGAAAACGTGATGAAGGTACTGCTGACTGTAACCTCGGTTACTATGATACTTTCGACCTTCTGATTACTGTTGGAGATCAGAGTCAACCAAATTACCTAGTGACCTGCATTGATTTGAAATTCAGTTATGTGCGAGACGGTCATATTTGCAAGTTAGAACTTGATTTGGAAGTTTGACCTTGATATGGAAGTTTGGCCTTGATTTCCGAAAAATACAGAAAATGGCCATACTTGGCAGAAAACAGACGAAAAAACACACAACTGGATATAGAACGAAAAACAGTCGATAGAAAACATGAGAGTAACTTCTTGTTACTCTCATGTTTTCTATCGACTGTTTTTCGTTCTAAAGAGACACGATAAGACACTTAGCGGAAAAAGATCACACGAAAAGAGACTTCAGTGAGTATCCTGAGTAGAACGGTACCCTACCGTGCCACGAAATTAAAGAGACATTGAAGCTACCTCCAGAGAAGCACGGAATTAGAGGCCCGGTGCCTGGAGACTGATATATGCGGAGAGACTGTAAAAAAAACTGACTTTTTAGCTACTTCGATGCCCTGAACATTTGAATTAACCCCAACATTGTTTGTTATTTTAGATCATGAGGAGCTAGGAAGAGGAAAGGGTCAATCCATCTGCAATGGATTTAGTACATAGCTTTCAGTAAAAACATAGTAAAATAGGATGTTCGATTCGTGTTTTTAATGATAATCATGTAGTCTGGGGATCCGAGACCCAGCTATGTGGTTATCTTCGCCTGTAATGAAAGCTGATCAAAGTCGTTTGACTGATGGCCTAAAAATAGTACCTTTTTACTTAGCCCTAAGCAGACCAGAAAATGAACTGACTAGGCCTAGATGGTGAAAAACGAGTATAATTTAGGTAATTGACGCCGGCCAGTTGCCAATAGGTGCTTTTTCTACGCTCCGTCACTATGTATTTTTTGGGCGAACGTTACATAGACATTTTTATGGCGCTCCAAGGTGGGCCTGTTAAAAGCATAAAACCCTCAGGGTCAGCAAACGTTTCAGCGACGAACTCTCCGCTCCGGGCGTATACCCGAGTTAGAGGCCTTAATGTTCTTTGTTGTACTAGGCGTATGTACCGACCCTCCGCCTGGTCCTGTTAAGTTTTTAACTTAGTTAAGACCAAAAATTCCTTTTGCCGGAGGGTTAAGTGGGAAGTCATGAGCCCAATTATCCCAAGGCTTTGGAACCAAAAAATTTCAAAGACAAGCGTAAAACCGAACAAAATTAGTATAAAGCCAAAAAAAGCCAAAAAAAATTTACTTGAAAACAGAAAAGTAAAAAAAACTATGAAAAATCCAAAAAAGACCAAAAACTGTAAAAAAAAAAACATAAAATGACAGTTTATTTATTGTTTCCGGACGAGTTGTGATCTGATCTTCCCGTTTGTTGTTGTTTCAAATTGATTTATATAAATTCTGATCGAAGGGTCGATCGTTTTTGGTGGTGGGTTAGGTACCCTTCCTTGAGTGTTGTTTGAGTGTTTAAGCACGTTAATGATAATTTTGCCGGCGACCGGAGGGTAGAGTGGCAAGCTGACAGACTTGTTCCAGATTCAACATGGGTCATCAGGGACAACATCCACAACGATTGTTGGGTATCGTTGATACAATTTTAGTGTCGTTCGGGTTTTATTTCATTAAAACTTAAGTGGTGGGGGGCACAATTGGCACAATTGATCAAAGATTTCATCGATTGCGAATTTCCGAGTTAAGGGTCTTAATTCGGGTATTTTGATATAAAGGAGAGTATAGTAATATTAATTAGCGACTACTAACAGATTATTATCCTTACTATAAATTGCTTATCTCCCATTTAGACCCGAGAACCACCACAATTTTGTCGAAAAACACCAATTTTCGACCAAACTGTTAAACCCCAGAATTTTGGATAACCGAGTTCTCCGAACAGTAAAAAGCTTCTTTGCAGTGAGCTACTACATAGTTTGATCTACCTAACTAAAGAAATCGCACGTAGAAGTTGGCGAAAACAAATTGTTTTCGATCAAAATTTTGGTAATTTTCCAATTTTGATCGAAATGTTTTGAGGATCGAGTTTTTGAGCTTTTAGAGTTAAAGCGACCAAAATGTTTGCCTTAGGAGCGTGCTAGGAGAGAGTAACTTTCCGAATGTTCCGTGGATAGAGCTAAAGACTTAAATGTAGGAAGAGGATTTTGGTCTGGTTTTTTGCGTTAATCTAGTGTCATACAGGGCTACAGCTCTCGTTTTAAGTTTTTTAGGCACTTTCAGTAACAATTGCGAAAAAAGTCTCTGAGAATCTATATAGGTGGTGAAAATGGCCAACTTAACGAACACATTTTTGGTGATTTCGCAAAGACTAGCTAACCGATCGGAATGTTTTTGGTACCATAAATCGACGTTTTGTATGGTTTTCCTTCACCACAATCGTTTTTGGGTTGATAACTTCAGGAAAAATTTTTTTTAAATAGTTGGTTCGGAGGGTCCAATTTTTAGGGAACCCTCCGATCGGCAGAAACTTTTATAAACTCACCTTTTAATCCTATTGGGAAGGTTGACCCAGTCAGCCAATCTAGTTTTAGGTAAGTTAGACTGCAATTGGAGGCTTTACAGCGGTGAAATTATCCTTTTTCATCATTTTTGGCGAAGCCTCCGAAGCAACCCTCCAGAGATAGCTAAGCCCCTTAGCAACCCTCCTTTGCAGAAATTTTTCACGCAACCCTCCGAGACAGTTAAAATAAAACCATGAGTGAATTTAGCTTGTTTTGTCTCTTGTTGAGACTAGCTGGACACCCCTCTTAGAGAGACTTGAAAAACTTAGAATTTTGAGGGAACCCTCCGAAGCAACGCTCCGGAGCGTACTGAGCCTCTTATTGACCCTCCTTAGTGATTTTAGTGGAAGGGAACCTCTGAAATTACTTAGGTATTTAAGGTACCCTCCGAAGTAACCCTCCGGAGTAAGCTAAGTGCTCTAATGACCCTCCGAAGCAACCCGTCGAGGTGTTTTAAGCCCCTTAAGAACGCTTCTTAGTAAAAATTTGGAGGTACCCTCCGGGACAAGTTGAACATCTTGGATATTCCTTTATGGTCAAAATAGAAGCTCAACTGCTCCCGAGGTGTATATATTGGGAAAATAGGAGCCCAGTTGACCCGATAATTTGCGGTCAACTTGAATTCTAGATCGGGTTCATCAGAAGTTTCCGAACAAAATTTTTTTTGATTTTTATTTTTGATTTAGTGAAAATTTGGAGGTACCCTCCGGGACAAGTTGAACATCTTAGATATCCATTTAAGGTCAAAATAGAAACTCAACTGCTCCCGAGGTGTATATATTGGAAAAATATGAGCCCAGTTGACCGGTAAGTTGCGGTCAACTTTGGATTCTAGATCGGGTTCATCAGAAGAATCCGAACAAAATTTTTTTTGACTATTATTTTGGTTGTGTGGTTGCCTTGAGCTACTTAAAAGGAAAGCTCGGGCAATCCGGCATTATATAAAAGAAGGCCCCGGTGTTTTTATTAGGCAAGAAACACTCACTTGAGAAGAGAAAATTGTTCGCTAATCTTGTGCACTTGGAACTGTCCGAGTGTGGGAGAATTTTTTCTTAGACTCTAGAAATTTTCCACCAGAGGTTGCCTTGAGCGACTTAGTAGGACAGCTCGGGCAACCACGGGACACATAAAAGAAGACATCAGTGAGTGTACTAGGCAGGACACACTCACTTGAGAAGACAGTTGCTGGGCTTTGTTCATTTGTAGTGTTCCAATCGAAGGAAGTCTTTTTCTTTAAGTTCGATTTGTCTGTTACTGAAACCATCACTGCTCTTTTATAAAGAATTGTTTGGTTTTTAGCCAAGCAGTGACTTGATACCTCTGTGGCGGTGAAGTGATACTGAACAAAAGATCACTGTCACCTATAGGATATTCTTATCTGATTATCAATTGTGTTTTGTGTACTGTTATACTAGGTAACTGAGTGGAGTTAGTAATAACTTAACACTAGGCAGGCCCTCTGTGTAACTTTGGCTAAGTTACTAATAGCATCTCTAAGAGATTGAAAGGATATTTTTGATATTGAAGAAATTGAGCGCGTAGGAATTGAGCAAGTTTGCTCAAGTTTTTTGAGGCACTTGTGCATTGTCGTCAATTTACACAAAATTTGTTTTTTCTATCGCTAAACATGCAACCTAGAAACTCGTTAGGAGAAACAGATAAGATTCCCAGGCTGAGCACAGGAAGCACGCGGAAGTTTAAACCACGCCGTAACCAATCCTCGATTAGCAGCGTTTCCGACGTCTTTGCTGGTGAAGCAACGAGTAAAGGTCAAGCTGATCTTTCAGTGAGCTGAATGAAACTGGGAAGCGACAAAAACCTCGATGGTGATGAAGGGCGAAGTGCTGATGCCGGGCCGGTGAACGTGTCATCAACGAACCCCTTCGAGGAACGAGAGCAAACGATGACCCGACCCGACCACCTTCATCACGCGGACCTGGAGGAGCCAGTCGAGGACCTTGAGCGGGAAGAAGTTGAGAAAGCTCAAGAGACCTCGGAGCGTTCCGAGGTTGAAGCGCGAGAAGAACATTCGTTCAAGGGGACGTCCGGATCGGAGACGAAGAGCAACTGGTGGAGAAAGGAACAACCCTCTCTAGTAAAACAGGGCAAGAATGCGATGATGTCTAGCATAAGTCCATGGGAGGAGCAAGCGAAATCAAAAGCCATGAAAAGTTCCATGACTTCATACGATGAACGCATGACGTCGCTCCGAACTGATGTATTGTCTTCTAGCTATGATCATGAGGGGCTGGTGCTACGGATGTGGACTGCACACCGAGCCCGAGGCATTAGAAGAGCAAGAAAG